TTCTTAGCTGTAGCAGGCTCTTTGTTCGGCCCGAAATTCGCTTTAGTCCAGGGCGAGGGGAGGGTCCCCGCTCCTCCGGCTCCGGGGGAACTGCACTTAGAAACCGCCGGTGCCCGTGCGCCCGGGAGCGTGTTCTCCGCACCTGCCCTCGGGCCTGCTGCTGTTCGGTAAATTCCTGCCCCCGACGGGGCAGAAACCCGCGGGAGGAGGCCGTTCCTTGCAGGGGCGGCTCCTCGCGGGCCTGGGGCCACGCTCCCAGCCCCCGCCCTGCCCCCCTTTGCTGAGGGGAAGGGGTTGAACTAGATCCCCGAGTTCGCAGAGAACTCAGCCCCTGGCTAGATTCAGACTGTGGAAGTAGAGAGCTTTCGGAACCCTGGGCATTTATATTGTGAGTGGTTCTGACACGTTGCTTTATTTAGATAATAAATCATTTTTAGTGTCTAGGAACTTTATCGTTTGAATAATTCTAAACAGCTTACCTCTTTGTGACAAAATTAAGATTTTTTTTCTTTTGAAATCTTTTTGCAAATCTCGTGTTGCCTGTAGCCAGCAGCATCAATAACTGCAGACTGAGTTTTGGTGGCGCCCTGGAAGTAGATAAGGGGTCACATGTAGAGATAAAGTTTGGCGTTTACTGTAGCTTAGTGGGGCCTCAGCCTTAAATTTTCCCCTTTCACAGCCTCCTACAGTATGAAGTATAAACATGAACTTTCAGCAGCTTGGGTAATAACAGCACAGGTCCTAGGACTTTGAGCATCCATTGGGACCAAGGAACCTGAAAGTTTCATTCTTAGTCGCTTGGTTCTCCAGTACAGTCATATCCTTGTAATCTTTGTACCTCTCGTCCACCTACTGTGTGCCTGCTATCCTAGGTTCTTTCCAGGCACTGTTCTGCCCTGTCCGCCAGCCCTGCAGAAAGCCACCGTGCGTACCCTGTAGCCTGCTGTCTGACAGCGCCGGGCACAGGGCCGGTGCTCAGACTCTGTTGTTTACCTTGGTCAAGTTGCTTATGCTGTTGTTCAGTTTCTTACCTGTAAAGTGGGGAAAACATGGTGCCTGTTTCATAGGGTAACTGAGAAGGTACATCAGGTAAATACATGCAACAGAGCCTGGCTTAACAGACATGCACCTCTTGGCCTTAGTTGCCATTTCTGTTCTTACCCAAGGTCACCTAGGTAATAAGTAAATGATAAGAGTCAAGCTTTGGACTATAGTCTGCTGATAGGATCTCAGTCATGGCTCTGTTCCCTCATTTATCTTTAGTGCCTAGTGCAGTTCTGTGCATATGATAAGGAATAGGGACTTATTACATATTTATTAATTTAAAAGGTTTTTTTTTTAATGTTTCTTTAACATATTAAATAAGAAGTTGTACTTTGTACATGGCTGGTTGGCTGCTCACCTCTGCCCTCGTTTCCAGGCATATTTCTCTTGTTTTCTTCTTCCCTTCCTGTGTTTTCTTTCTTTTTAAAATATGTTTTTACTGATTTTAGAGAGAGAGGAAGGGGCACGGAGAGAGAAACATCAGCTGCCTCCTGCACACCCCCTGCTGGGCATCTAACCTGAAACCCTGGGCATGTGCCCTGACCAGGAATTAAACTGGCGACCTCTTAGTGCATGAGATGACCCTCAACCAACTGAGCCACACCGGCCAGGGCACCCTTCCTGTATTTTAAATTATCCTTTCCCCCCTATTCCAGTTAAAACTCATTTTCTCAGTGCCCCTGATTAAAGAAATTTATCTGGTCTTACCCCAAAGAGGACTGAAGTGTGGTGATCGTGGGAGGGACAGGCTTGGAAACAGACAGCCTCCGTAGTGCCAGTTGAGTTAGGGTTAAATGAGCGAGTGCAGTGAAGGTGGTCTTTTCCCTGTGGGTAATCAACACTCAGTCACTGTGCAGTCACTGTGGAGCTAGTGGCCTTCACACGAAGAGGCAGGAGCTGCTTGTAAAGGTGACTACACCGAAGAAAGAAGGGGCTCTCCTGCTGTTTACCTGTCCTCAGCCAGAATTCTTCCTTCTCCCAGGTGTGCTAGGAAGGGATAAGCACCTACAGCCCACTTTTGAAACTCTTTAAATAGAAAATAAGTACATAACACTTTAGAGTATCAATTCTTAGATCATAAATATAATTTCCCACCTACGTATTTGAATTTTTCCTCTTTTAAAAATGCACCCATTTCTCCACTGGGAAATAATTAAAGCTCTTTCCCCCTATGTTTTCTATGTAATATTGGGGAAATTGGCTATTGGGGAAGGGGAGGAATAGGCTATGTCCTCTCCTTTATATCCTTACACTTAACCCGAATAAATTCTAGAAGGGATAAGTGGTAAATGTTACAAAGGAAAATACAATCAAAAAAGAAACGGAGGTAAAAACTAACACTGGGATATAAAAAGACTTTCTAAAGCTGAAAGCAATGGAAAATCAGAGGAAAAGATTGATAATACTTGATTACATAAAGATGTAGAAACAATTGTATGTCAAAACATAAAATTAAAACAAGAGACACTATAGAGGAAAATATTTGCCACATATAGTAGTTAGAAGATTGCCCTGACTGTATAAAGAGCTCTACTGAATAAGAAAAATACTTAACATTCCAATTCCAAAATGGGCAAATGTGAACAAAGCCATAAAGAAATACAAATAGGAAAATGTATATAAAACTAATATCAATATAAATTAAAACAGTACTAATTAAACAGTGATAAAATATCATTTTCACCCCTCTCCAACTTGAAATTTCATACTCAAAGCTGATACGATGAGATGGCCGCTAATGCATTAGTTACAGGCATAGAATCACTGTGGACTTTTTTGTGAAACCTTTTTCCAGTTTGATCCAGTGATTCCACTCCTGGTGATTTATCCTAAAAAATGGACATACACCTTCTGTTAGTCTATCTGTTATGTAACAGACCACTCTAAAACTGAGTGGCTTAGTAAATAGTATCTTTCAGTTTCTGTGGCTTGGGAGTCCCTGTTCAGCAGGCTGGGTGCCCCTGGCTCAGCTCTCTCTCCCCACCTGTGGTCAAGGTGTTGGCCAGGGCTGCAGTCATCTGAAGGCATTACTGCAGGAGAATTCACCTCCAGGCAGGCCTCAGGGCTTTGCTCCTGTGGGCCGAGGACAGTTCCTCACCTCCCGGGCCTCCCCATAGAGATGGAAGTCCTGTTGTCCTATTTTTTGGAACCTAATCTTGGAAATGTCTCATCGCTTCTGTTGAAGTCTGTTTGCTAGTAGTAAGCCCTGGGTTCAGCCCTTGCTCTAGGGAAAGGATCACACATGGGCAAGAATACTGAGAGATGGGCTCTGTGGAATATTCCAGACACTGCCTCCTATACTGGTTAGTGTAATAAGGTTAGTACAAAGGTTTTCATTATAGTTTTTTCTTTTTAATTTACAGTGGCAGAAAAAGAAACAAAATCACACAGAATGAAGCACATCAGGAAGTAATTTAAATGTCCCACAGGAAAATGGTCACATTGAGCTGCAGCCCCACAGTGGGGTGTAATCGCAGAACAGTCATTCTGCCTTTGTTGAGTGTCAGTCGTGTACTAGGCATTTGCTAGATATTTCTGATCCTAACAGTAACCATGTAGGGTGGCGGCTTTTATCACCATTTTACAGATGAAAGGGTGGTGCTCAGCGTCAGGGTATCTGATGGAGTTCTCAGCACCGTGACCAGAGTGCTGGTTAACTACACTCATGAAGGGTAATGACACGAGGGAGACTTTACAAAGTGACACGCATGCACATTTTATGTACATGTAAGAAGAAAAGACAGTCGCAAATGTTATCTTTCAGTGGTAGAATAGCAATATTAAAACATTTTAATTTATTCCACTCAAAATCTCCATTCTGCATGTATTCTCTGTATAAGCTGTTTTAAAACTCAGATCCTTGTAAAGCGTTTTAGCTCCCACTAGCCAGACCGATGCACACAGTTGTATGTGAGACTGAAACATCTCTTGGTAGTGAGTCATCGGGTTCCCTTTGCTCTGGTCTTGTAGATGACTGATCTCTCCTTACCCAACTATCTGATGGCGTCCTCAGTCGGGCTGCTTCCTACCCAGCTCCTGAATTCTTACCTGGGCACTACCTTGCGGACAATGGAAGATGTCATCGCAGAGCAGACTGTTAGTGGATATTTAGTTTTTTGTTTACAGGTGAGTTTAAGGCCAAGCGTTGTGTCCCATTCCCCCAACCCCCCGCCCCCCTATATGACATTGCTGATTTAAAACTAACATTTTATTGAAAATAAGATTTTTGCTGTTCATGTCTTTTCTTGTTCTTTCAATAATTCTTAGTATTTTGATAACATTTACATTTTAATTGTGTGGCTCTATGGAAGTGTATAGAACTGATTTGACACTTACTGAATATTCTCTTAAAGGGAATGACAAAANGTGGCTCTATGGAAGTGTATAGAACTGATTTGACACTTACTGAATATTCTCTTAAAGGGAATGACCGGGTTCTTGGCAAACTTAACCTGAGGATACAGAAGGGGAAAAAGCAAAGTTTCTTAACACAGGCATTTATGAAAACCACCCCAGCACAACAAAAAAAGTGAAGACATATCTATGCCTCAATCTGATCTATTGATGTACTGTACAGCTGACGTTGTTTCTGGAAGGACTTAGTTCCGCTTACAGAAGATGGAAAAGTAAAAAGCGGGGAGGGACGTCATTTTGAAGGGGAATCGGCATAGGGTAAAAGGAGGAAGCTTAGGCCGCAGCTGGTGGGGTCAGGGCCTTCGTGACACTCCTCACAGTCGCCAGGATGAGCACAAATATGCATCCATTTCGGAATCACCTACAGAGTCCAGTGTCCACAGTACAAAGAGACAAGTTTGACTTTTATGGACCAAACACCATGTATGTGGACTAGAAAGGCTGCATACCTGCCTTACGCTTCCCTGACGCTGTGTCATGGTTACCTATAGACTTTGACCTACACTCCCAGTAGAAGCAGCCAAGGGAACAGTACATGACAAGTGTGTGTGAACCATTTAAAAATCTTACCTGAGCGTAGTTGGAAAGCACACGACCATTTGAAAGCATTTCTAAGCCAAGTATTGGAGTTATTTCCCCCCTTTTTTCCTGTGTAAGGCATCAACTGGCGTGTTTTACTTTATTCGCAGATTATCATAAGCATCGGCCTCATGTTTTATGTTGTCCATCGCGCACAACTGCAGTTGAACGCGGCCATTGCAGCTTGTGAGATGGAACTGGAAACCCCGCTGGTGAGGGGCGGTCAGCCAGATTCCAGCGGCTCCTTGTACAGCAAGCGGACCCCAGCGTTCTCGGGGGACGGAATCAACGTGGTATAACTCCAGTGAGGCGCAAGCTTGGCAAGAGCCCCATGTGCTGTCCCAAGAACGTGGTCCCCTCATGGGGCGGAGACAAGTCCTGACTGTACTCGGCACAAACAAAACTGACACATTTTTTAAATTGCACAGCTTTTCTGGGCGAGGGTCAGTTTCTGGACTGGGAGTGTCCATGTAGGTGCAGTTTTGGCTGCACTGTGACCACCTCTTAGCCCGTGAAGGCCTGTTGGTCTGCACTTTAGTGTTATGTTTTCTTTCTGGGTACTTATAACAGAGAAGCGACCCAAATATTTTCTGTCAGTCTTTATTTATGAAGCCCCTGAGTAGCTGTGTGCATCTTCCTACTTACAGAGTAAGAGCACGCAGTTTACATGTATGTTACCAGGTGCCCTTTGCTTTGGTAGCCTTTCCAGAAAGGATACACAGATTCTGTTTTATTTTGTTTTATTGTTTTCAGTGGGACCACTGTTTCTTCCTAGTTAGAGAAAGACGTTGACTTTGGGCTGAATGTATTTTGCGAGCACCACATTGTTGCAGGGCCACTTAGCCCGTTCACGCAAGCTGAAATTCCGTCAGGGACTGAAGTGCTCTTAGGACACCTTCCGTCTCCACTGTGACGTGCGGAGCTGGAGGAATTAATCCGTCACATCGCTGTGCTCACAGCCCTGTGCTCTTGTAGGTCCGGCTTCGAGGGCTGCCCGCAGCAGTCTTACCCTAGCATTTCATAGAAACACAACACACTTCTTTTTATATTCATCATTAGGCTTTGAAATAAAGATGTTTTTCCTTTAAAATGGTGGGCTTACCATCATTGAAGGTGTCACTCAGGTGGCCTTATTTGATCAAAACGCCTTTTTAAAAAAACAAGCTTTAAAATCATGTTTATAATTCCACTGAAGTATTCATATATTGTCCCTGTTGTCTTCAGCGTCAACACTATAAATACGATGTTAACTTAATGCCCAACTTTGTATTGTTCGTTAGTTTTTCAGTTCTTGTTTTTCTGATAAGACTCAGGAATTCTGAAATGTGAACTGTATTTATTAGTAGCACTTAGGACAGCAAACAGTGATTTGGCACAGGATTCATGCGACATGTATTCATTTATCGCCTTATATTTTAATATAGTTTAATTGTGAACTTAAAGATTCATTTTTTTGTATGTTTTTTATAACAGATTGTATATAGGAATGCAAGTTTTCCAGTAGGTTTCTCATTTTTGGCAAAAAGATTCCAGCTTATCAGAGACTTCCCGTTGGCCTTTTCATTGGTGAGAGCTTTGCCCTGGGTTGCTGAAGTGAGAAGATCTCTGGAAGCAGATTATCCTCGTCTCAGGCTGAGGCGCAGTGAGTTCAACGTGAGTTTGTTGTGCTGTTCCCGGTATAACTGTTTTCCCTCCAAATACGAACGTGTCCTCACCTTTGAGTGGCCGCGAGGTTCACTAAGCCCACACCCGGGAGAACTGCTGCAGACCGTCAGAGTCCACAGCACACAGTCGGCCTCCAAATCTCCCTTCATTGGCAGGAAAAAAGTGGCATATTCTTATTTCTTTTTGGATCCTAATGCTGGTTTAGTTGCTGGATTGGTTTTGTAGTGATTTTACAATGGACGGTACTTGGATGTGTTCTGTTCTCTAACTTGACTTTCCTTGTGCTCGTTGGCTGGTTTGTTGAAGGAGTCATTACGTTAAGATCATTGCTCCCATGTTGTGTTGCACTTAACGTATTTTGAAGTGGATTTATTTACATAACGTTTTGTAACTTGAATAATTTCACCAAATGAATACCTTTTGGTAGTTTGTAATCGGTTCTTCCTACTGTTGCCTGGTACTTTAAGTAAATATGTAAAGGTAAACGAGAAGTAATTTTTCTGTATTCTGCCAATCATTTTATATAATAAAGTCATCCATTTTTATTAAATTAGCATGGATTTCCTGTTTCTGAAATACTCCTGTGAAGCCACAGTGCCTTCCTCGTCACCCTTCCCAGCCTTCAAGTGCACAGCCGCCCACTCCCGTGATGCTCTTGGCCGCTGGCCTTGCTGCTGGTGTCAGGTGCTCGCTGCCCTGGACAGGGCATCACCCTGCCCCGCTCTGCACCCTAGGCTCATGGCAGCAACACATTTCTGCAGGATTTCTTGTGTTGCCCAAATAGTGCCTCCAGTCATGGAGAGTATAAAGTAAACTGTTTAGACTTCTCATAAACTGTTTAAGTGCAGTATAAAGTTGCTTTTGCACATTTTAAAAAGCATACAATATACCTAATTTCTAAATCAGGTGAACTGTATCTTCTATTTTTAATTCTCTGGGCTTTTTCACACCTTTTCCGCATTTTCAGGTTTATTGTTACTCATTTTGCTGATTCTTGGACAAGTTGTCTCACGTAAATTATTATTTTTTAAATTTTGTTTTTGTTTAAAATATTACAGATGTCCCTTTTTCTCCCCAATGACCCGTTCCACCCCATCCCATCCCTCTCCCCAGTCCCTCTCCCCACCATTGATGTAAATTATTTTTAAACAGCACCTTTTTTTAAAAAGTTGTAAAGCCCTGGCCAGTGCAGTTCAGTGGTTAGAGTGTCAGCCATGGGTTTGATTCCCGGTCAAGAGCATGAACCTGGGTTGCAGGTTCCATCCGAGCCCTGGTTGGGGCGTGTGCGGGAGGCCACCAGTCGATGTGCCTCTCTCATCAATGCTTCTCTAGCCCCCTCTTCCACTCTAAAAAGGCAACGGAAAAAATATTCTGGGGTGAAGATTAACTAACAAAAAAATTTGAGTTTATTCCCAGATCTTTATAATCGAGGTTGCTGGTGAATGAAATGTTTTTACGACTCATCTTATTACTTGGATACGGTTTTCACATAGGAAAGCTCTTACTATTTTTAGCATCTTGGGGACTGTCTCACTGATGTAATTTCCAAGCACAGTGCCCGCCCTGTGGGCCCTGAGTGTGTACTGAGAGGGGCTGTGGTTTCCGCCGCCTGCTGGAGGGAAGTGAGGTACTCCCGGGCCCTGGAAAGGTTCCAGCTGGGCAGTTTGATAACATACATTTTAAAGCAAATTAGCTTCTAATTGAAAATAAATTAGGACGTGGCATTGCATTCTCAAAGGGACGGCGGCACTCAATTTAAAGAAAACGGTTACGCACAGTTATTCCAGGAGGCCTTGGTCTGAGCTGTTTGCACAATGACTCAGCACTTTATTGAGGTGGAATTTTATAAAATTAATTGACCACCAACGTGAATCAATAAACATACTGTATACTCATCAGTGGATGACACTGAGATGAAAAACATCAAGCTCATTTATAAGTGACCCTGACATGTTTCTTGTAGCCGTAGTAACCGTTACGGTTTTCCAGAGCCTTACAGCTGCATCATTCTTTTATGTATTTGAGGTCACTGAATCCTCACGAATACCCCGTGAGATGGAAATGGAGCTCTAGGGTTGGTCTTACCTTCTCAGCAGAGAAACTGAGGTTTCATGAGGTCACGTGGCCCTTACGTGGACAAGTCGGAGCTCAGCAGCTGGTCCCCAAACCTGTGCCAGTGTGCACCTTGAACATGAGATGGGCATCCCGACTGTCCCTGCTCGCGCAGGTGGCTGTCACCCTGTCTGACGTCAGCGCCAAACGTTGCCTTCCCACCACGGCCGTGAAGGGTGTCAGCACATTCTCCCAGGGCATGGTGTTTGTTTTTGATATCTGTTGACTCCATCTTGAGCAGTTGTGTCCTGTATTAAAACTAGTTGCAACAAATGTCTAAAATAAATTTTAGGTTTTTAGGATCCTAAATTCAATCTGCCTTCTGTTGGTCTGACTACTGAATACTCGTGACCTTATTTTTTGAGTTTTAGAAACCAGAATATTTTTTAAAGCATTTCTAGCCCGGCCGCTGTGGCTCAGTGGATCAAATGCCATCACAGGCACTGAGAGGTCACCAATTCCATTCCCAGTCAGGGCACATGCCCAGGTTGCCGGCTCAGTCCCTGGTGGGGGCATGCAGGAGGCAGCCGATCGATGATTCTCTCTCATGGATGTTTCTATCTCTCTCTCCCTTCCTCTCTCTAAAAAATCAATTAAAAACATTTTTAAAAAATAAAAAAATAAACTGACTTAGCAAGACACCACTATTTAATATTGTTGTTCCNTGGGGGGACAAGGATATTTCTTTTTACTACTTTTTAATGACTATGTATACTTTAACCATTTTGATTGTAAATAGAGGGCACATGGCTTTGTTTTATGGCTAGTAGGTATTTGCAATAGAATGATGTATTTCTGTGATAATTCAGGTTTATTAAATATATAGGTACAGATGGTATATATTAATTTTGTATAGATTATATTTTGAAACATTGCTGGCTTTCATAATTAGCTGAGATTCATCTTGTTTTAGTCAGTATGGTTTTTCCTTAGTGTTATAACTGCACCTTACCCTAGTTTAAATGACACTTAACCTTTAAAAGATGGCATTTAAAAGACAGCATCATACAAACTCCATATATTTTCCAGGATCAACTGTACAAATAATGGCTTCTTTCCTTTTGCCTGTAAAAAAGAACGTATATGCTTAGGTTTCTGAGTATTTAATATGCGTTTCCCAAGCACAGCTATGTTTATACACCATGCTACAACCCAGGCATCATTTTTTTTGCTACCTGGTTTACTTCAGGTCAGCTTCAAACCTTTTTGTTTTCTGACAGGCTGACATTCTCAATGATCAGGGCCAAACCCAGGAAGAGCTTGCAGGCGCCACTGGTCCAGTTTGGAACCTGGTGCTTCCAGAGAGATGGGTCCAAGAGAGTGCAAGGCTTAGGCAGAGTACTCGGGCACCAGTTGCGGGTGAAACCATATTGTTCAGGGCTACCAGGTCACGGTGAAATTCCCGCAAGTTAGGGTGGTCAAAGGTGCACTTGGTGAGCAGCATAAAACGCACTCGTGAGCTGAGCACCAGACGGTGGCTCCTCGGAGCTCCATCCTCACCAGGACCCGTCCTAGGTCCAACCTCCAGCAGTTATAGCAGCAGATTAAAAACAGCCACAGTAGCTCCGTGTCTGCTAATCCTACCCTCGTCCGCACCCAATGATTTTGTCAAAAATGTCCCCCTGACATCTCGAAAGTAGGCAAAGGCAGAGGCCAGTGCTGGTACCACACCCGGTCTTTCATCAGCTCAGCAGATTTCTTTATTAGGGACAGGGAGCAATCTCAGTGCTTCCCGTGGGAACCAATATTTCCTAATTCTTTTGATATTTTTTGCCCAAACACTAGAGGCCAATTGGAGACATGTTAGTGATGTTCAGATTAGACTAGTTAATTGTTAACCTAACACAGAATCGACCAACCCAACAAGTCCTCACCCGACACACATCAGGTTCCCAGTCCAAGAACCTCTGAGATCGTATCATTCTGCTCAAAGCACATGGATTAGCTTTTAATGGAAACGCCGAAAGCATGAGGCCAGGACACACCAACGATCGAGACTGGGGATTTGAACACCAAGGAGGTAAAAATTCAAAAGTTATCTAGTCATTCAAAAGCGGTAATGTAGAAACGCCACAAGGAGCATGTGATTCCAGTAAAAACAGCAATAAAACCCAGGACCCTCCTGCCCTTCCCGTGAGACAAATACACGTGAGCCTGGGGATGTCTCACCGGGTGTTTGGAGGTCTTCCAACAATGACTTTCTCTCCTATGGCATCTAAGGAATGACAGGCACACGTGGAGGTGTCAGTCCGGTGGATGAGATGACACGCCCCCCACGGGGGTACCCAGCTGTGACCCAGCATCCGGTGTGCATGCTGGGCTCCAGCCATCGGCAGCTCTGAGAACTCCCCTACGAAGGAAGGGGACAGGCCTGTGGAACCAGCACCAGGAGGGACAGGCGGGGACACACTGGAAAGTCAGGGGCTCCCAACACCTGGCCAGTGTGAGCAAGTCAGACCGCAGGGTGAGCACGGCCGGGAGATGAGAAATTAGCGTTTGCCTCTGTCTCTTGACACAGATACAGCAGGATTTAATATTTCAACTCATGTTGACACTTCCTGTTAAGCCAAGTCAAGAATAAGCAGTGAGGACCATCTTCAGGAGTGGAGGGACCTCTTGTGAGCAGTTCCTGTTCATTCTCAAACTCTGTTCTCTGGAGCCTGGGAGTGGCACAGGCTTTCTGATACATGGACTCGCGTGGCCCTAGATTTTCTTTTCCTTTTTGAGAGGCCCAAATTGTGGTTGTTTCAGGGAAAGAAAAGCTGATGGAGGGGAAACGGGAAAGTGAACATCAGGGGGTTTCCTCTGCTCTTTCTGACACACCTTCACCATGCTCTGGGCTGGAGTGTCATCCATAGGAACTGGATGACCCCTGGAAGATGTTAGTGGCCACAGGAGGCCTCTAACATCTACCCCTCTGAGCTCACGCCCCACATTAAAGCACAAACCAGTGAAACCCTTGTCCCCACGGAGACACTGACCTTGAACGTAAACATTTGCTCTGAGCATGTATCTGGCTGGCTTTGCCCAGCACATCAGAGGCTGGGTGATCATAACAACTCTATGGTGTTCATCTCCGCAATTCCAGAGACAGGCCGCTTCCCTCAAGCAAGGTGCCACCTCCAAGGGAAAAAGAAAGTTTGAATGGGAAGGCATTTTGACATTTTTACTCAAAGAAAGAGTTTTAAATGAATGATACTTGAGGACTTCACTGGACAAGAAGAAGAGGGAGCTGCCGGCATTCCTGCTCTGAGCAGACCCGGTAATCAGCTGTGTGAGGGGCCCTGACTTGTCATCTTCATATCAACACCTGATGTGTGTCCTGTTCTAATTTACAGATGGAGCCTGAGCCTCAGGGTTTAGTCCTGGTCGACCCCCCCAGCGGGCAGTAGGCTCAGGCCGCATGCTCTAGACCACACAGCAGGCCTGAGTCTGCTGTCT